AACCAAATCTGTAAAATTTTGAACTGATTCATTTGGCATTTCCATAAGTCTTGGCTTCAAGAGAAATTTGGGCTTGGCTTTCTCCTGGGTAAACAGCAGCAAGAACAGGGCAAATGTGAGCAGGTAGTGTATGTAGTGTTTGTGGGATTTGAAAGTAGACTGTTGATCCTGGGTGTTCCTTTTTCGTTCAGGGACCGGTATTAAGACCTGGGGGGCTGGCAGTTTTCTTTGTACTCAGTTGGGCTATTTGATCATCTTTCATAAGAGTTAGGTAAAGAATAAACAACCGACAAGTACAACTTTAACAAGATATCAGAACAGCACAGTAATCTATTTTATACTTAATTAACATCTAACCTACTTGGTGATTTAACCACTTAGATACATACAAAAAAAGATGATGGAAACAGAAAAGGATCATGTTATTCCTTTCCCTCCCCCTTCCAGCAATGGCTTCCTGCCACTCTTGACAGATTCACCCAGCATGGCTGAATTTAAAGGTGCTGATTCACTGCAAACTAATTCTGTTTTGTTTTTTGTTATTTTTTTTTAAGGCAGTAGGAAAGTAAGTGGTAGATGATAAATATGTGTTCATTGAGAATGGCAGGTTTTATGCAAATTGATAAGTCCACTGCTTCAGAGATGAGATAGGCTCTTTCCTAGAAGGGGAGTGTCGATTATAAATGGTGAGAGACTTTGCATTTCAGCAAGTTCTTAGCTGCCAGCCGACACATTCATCACAGTATGCCAGAATGGATTTTAAAACGGTACAACATATATTGCTCTTTTCCAGATCAGGCATCATCACCTTCACACAAGCCAAGTCAACCTGCTTGTTTGAAAACTGCCACATAAGGCTGTTTTTCAGGTTAATCTCAGTTAACCTTTTCCTTTCCTGATATACACAGTTCATTAGAATCTATCCAAGTCATTTGAGTACAGAGGAGACAGGCTTCTCACTTCAGTTTTTCCTACACGGCAACTGAATGCCCAGAAGTTCCAAGCTGATGGCAAAATAGAATGTTTAGCCCAGCTCTATCCAGACTGATCTGGGGGAGGAAATGGCAACCCACTCCAGTATTCTTACTTGGGAAATCCATTCACAAATGAGCCTGGCGGGCTATAGTCCATGGGGGTCACAAAAAGTCAGACATGACTGAATCGACTTAGCACACACATAACCAGACTGATAGCTCTCATCCTTACCTTCCCTCTTTCACTCCTTTCCCTTTTCCATATTTTGCACCTCTAAACATTTAATTATTTCTTTTTTTTCAGTATTCTCCCCTCCCAGAGTTGACTCCTGGCAGCTCCTGCACAGCTGACAACTCCTGGCTATCTCTTCCCTAACTTTCTGCCCTAGAACTGTCAGCTGAATCTCCAGCTCAAACTAGTGCTAGACTTTCTGTTTAGTGCATCTCTCCACTTCTCCTTCCTACCTCTCCTGACCCCATATCCACCCTGCTAGATCTCTCTCCCCACCTCACCTCATCTCCAAGCCCTTTAGCTATAATTGTCTCCTCTCTATAACCCAGACTGACACAGCCCAGCAACATCCTCAGGCCTTGCTCTAGTTTTCTCATAGCCCAGCAGAGCGCAGTACTTCTTAGATCACTGAGACCAGTGGTCTCCAACCTTTTGGGCACCAGGAGAAGGGTTCCTCAGGGATCTGGAACCAATATCTCTAACACAGAAAGTCAGAACTGTAGCCAAGTGGCAAAGATAACAGTATGAGGACAATCTCAAAGGTGAAACCAGGAGAGAAATGAGAGACTAAACATCAGAGCCTATGAAAACTGATAGCAGACTGGGAGAGAGTTCAAGGAGCAGATGTAGAGTGTAGTTCAGAACTGAGTATTTTTGTTCAACCTGCATTTGTTCAATGTGTTTTGTGTGCTATGAATACAAATATGGATGAGAACTCTGTTGCTTTCATGGAACTTACAGGCCACAAGGGAGACTGTGACTTGGCAAGCTCCCTTTAAATAGTGCCTGGATCTGTTGAGAAAGTGGACATGGCAGATTAAAGGAGTTACACTGGACTGTGAACAACCCAGAAAACTTGAGATGTACTGACAAGTCCTGCCTAGCATGGATGTGGGAGGAGATGGAGTCATACTGTGATGACTTCTGACTTCTCTGTGGCTCTGAGTCCTCTCAGAAATAGCTCTTTTTAAAAAATCAGAGGATTGAGTAACATTTAATACTTGCCTGAAATTTGCTAGCTGGGGCTACAAGATTTGAGAAGTGGTTGACAGAGTAGACAGAGTGTGTAAGGAAGTTGTAAGAAACTCACTTTGATAATTGCATTTACAGAGAATTATTAAGTAGTCCACATTAAACTTCAAAGTTTTCTAACAACAGCAGAAGATAGATTGAAGGAATTTTTTGGATTCTGTCCTAATTAGCAGTCCTAAGTTCTTATTTACCACAATTAACATGTATTTCTGCAGTAGGAGCTCAAAGTGCTGTCTACCTATCTTTATGAAAATCTTATCTTATTATTACTCCACACCAATCCTAGTTGATTCTTTAAAAATCTGTCCTAGCTTTCGTGATAAATTGTAGGCCATTTTCCCCCAAAAATAACTACATGAGGAACAAAATGTTAGGCAATTGTCTACCATGAATTGTTGTTGTTCACCACCCTGTCTCATCAAGTAAAGAGTTAATGGCAATTTAAGATTATTGGAAGGGATCACCAGCATTATCTTCAGTCTTTCATTCATTAGATTGGCATTATGTATGAGTGAATACTCTTCCATAAATTCCAAAATATTAATGCTTTACTAGCATCTATGTTGTTAAAAGCAGATTAAGCAGAAGAGGTTCCTTGACTGACGGGATTCAATTTTACATAGCACATGGTGTAATACATGTGTAATACACAGTGCATCTGTGTATCTGGCAGGGTATAGTTACAGATAACAAAAATCACTCTAGCTCTTTGAATCAGTAAGAGATATAACACAAGGGATCAGAAGCCTCTAAAATCATTGGAAGGGCTGGAGGAGCAGATTTCAATCTGGGCCTTCAGGCGTATTTCCTAGAATGAATGTTTATATCCTTAAAAAAAAAGTTCCTAATCTAGCAATTTATAAACTATATGTAAGCCTTCTTGCAATAAAAATAGATAATAGAGGAAAATAAGCATTTGCTCTCTGCTGGTAAAAAAAAACCTTCACAGCATTTCAGCAACGTGAAGGAAGTAAGCTAGTAATTATTGGCTGCTATGTGCCAGGTATTTTTCTAGATGCTCTAAAATTTTTATTATTATTATTTTTTTGTTTGTTTTTGGTTGTGACAGGTCTTTGTTGCTGTGTGCCAGCTTTCTCTAGTTGCAGTGCATGGGCTTCTCACTGTGGTGGCTTCTCTTGTCACCAGAGCACAGGCTCTAAGCAAATGGGCTTAACTAGTTGCAGCACGCAGGCTCAGTATTTGTGGCTTACTGGCTCTAGCGCACAGGCTCAGTAATTGTGGCGCACAGGCTCAGTTGCTCTGTGGCACGTGGAATCTTCCTGGACCAGGGATTGAACTCATGTCTCTGCATTGGTAGGCAGATTCCTATCCACTGCACCACCAGGGAATTCCTTTTTCTTGATGCTTTAGATCTATCTTTTTATTAAGTCCTTCTTAAAAACCTTTCCAAGCGGGTAATATCAGCCCCTCTTGAAAAAATGGATGTTTAGAAAGATGACACTATATATGCACAGGTAGAAAATGATAGAGGTAGAATTCAGGTTCAGATCTGCTGCCTCGAGAATTGGTAGACCTATTGCCCAGCATTGTTTATTACTCCAAAGTCCTATCTGTGGTAGCCAACCAAAGTTCTGACCCCGTATTTAATGACTACATCCAACAAGGCAGTTTACTCAGCCCTTTAGAGATGTTTTATAATTCACTTTTTTTTCTATATGATCCATGAGGATGTGGTTCTTAAAAGCAGATGTCTCAGTATCACAGGAGTAAGCAAGCCATAGTAGTAAATAGATAGATATTTTTCTATCTCAGGTGAAAATAATATTGTCCATGTCACTTGACCCAGAACTTTGTAGTTTCATCCAACACTTTTCTAGATCTTAAGAAGTCTCTTCTGGGGAAAATCATGGATTTACATGCAGGAAGTAGCAACCAAATAACAACTAAGTGTGTGGGTCTCTAAGACAACAAATCTGATCTTTAGATATTCACAAAATGATGGTGCATATGAGTTTTCTGTTTGCTGCTGTAACAAAGTACCACAAACTTGGTGGCTTAAAACAACATGAATTTATTATCTGGCAGTTCTGTGAGTCAGAGGTCTAGTTCAGGTATCACTGGGCTTAACCCAGGTATTGGCAGGGCATATCCCTTTCTGGATGTTCTAGGGAAGGATTCACTTCCTTGCCTTTTGTATCTTCTAGAGGCTGCCCACATCTCTTGGTTCATGATGGCCTTCTATCTCCAATGTTAGCAACAGCAGGCTGAGTCCTCACATTGCATCACTCTGACTTTGTCTCTGTTCACACATCTTCTCTGTCTCTGTCTTCCACTTTTAAGGACACTTGTGATTACAATGGGCCCAACTAGATAATCTAGGATGGTCTCCCTATTTTAAAGTCAATTGATTAACAACTTTAACTCTATCTGCAACCTTAATTCCCCTTTGTCACATAAGGTAATGTTCTGGCAGTTAGGATGAAGTGGGGGGCATTACTCTGCCTACCATGAATGGTTACTTAATAGAGTAACATAGAAGAAAGAGCTTGGGAAGGCAGACCTGGATCTGAATCTTGTCTCTAGCATTAACTAGTTATGTCACCCACTAACTGGCAAATTATCCAATCTCTCAGAACCTATTTCCTTATGTACAGAATAGAGATTATAACCTACTTCACAGAATTCATTTGACCTTTAAATGGTAAAGTTCTTAGTATATGCCTGCCGCAGAACAGAGGCTAAATAAACATATCCTTATAATTAGAGCATCTAGAACTATATTCAGGAACAAGCAATCCAAAAGAGTACTTCCCAGATGCTTGGAAGCATCTGTGCTTGATATTTCCTGTGGTTTCATTTTTCCTTTAACTCTAATTGGATGGTTACCTCAAAGTTTTTCAAAACCAGTGTACTGATCCTAAATAAACACAAAAAATGAATGAAGACACACTTTATTTCACTACTCATCTCAGCCAGTTTCTCTCATAGATGACATTTGAACAGGGAACAAAGAGAGAAACATGAATCCTCTTGACGTATCTCGACATAAATCCTCTTGACGTATCTCGTATTTATTCTTTCACAATCTTCCCCTGGCCATCAAAAACTCTTTCCTCATTTACATTCAGTGAGAAAACTTCAACATTGTTATCTTGTGTCTTTTCCTGGGATGGTCATAGATCTATCCCTGCATAAAAGATCAGCAGCAGTTGGTCATCTCATTTGCCTTTCAGCTTTAATAAAGCTGAAGTTAATGACTGATGTGTTGTGTTGAGAACCCAATATTGGGTACATAGTAACTAGCCATTAAAAATGATATTTAATGACATGGAAAAATGTTTACAATGTATTGATAAGTAAGGAGGAAGTTATAAAATAGGATATAGTGTTTGATACCACTTTTGTTCCCAGGTGGCACTAGCGGTAAAGTGAAAGTGAAGTGAGTGAAAGTTGCTCAGTTGTATCCAACTCTTTGTGACCCCATGGACTGTCCATGGAATTCTCCAGGCCAGAATACTGGAGTGGGTAGCTTTTCCCTTCTCCAGGGGATCTTCCCAACCCAGGGATCGAACCCAGGTCTCCCACATTGCAGGCGGATTCTTTACCAGCTAAGCCACAAGGGAAGCCCAGTGGTAAAGAACCCACCTATGAATGCAGGAAACATAGGAGATGCAGGAGACTGGAGTTTGATCCCTGGGTTGGGAAAATCCCCTGGAGTAGGAAATGGCAGCTTGTTCCAGTATTCTTGCCTGGGAAAGCCCATGGACAGAGGAGCCTGGTGGGCTACAGTCCATTGGGCCACAGAGTAGGATGTGTATGAGTGAGTATTTATATTGCATTACATTGGGGAAAAAATGTTCACAAATAGAAAAAAGCCTGGGAGGGTCAGTAGTTATCTGTGGGTGGTAGGATTATGAGTTGTTTTCATTTTCTTTGCTTCCTCACATTTCTCAATTTTCTACAATAAATATGTTGCTTTTGAAATAGGAATAAACAAAATGTGTGTGTGTGTGTGTGTGTGTGTGTGTATGTTTTTCTTAAAGATTTGATGGTGGTGAACAGCTTCTGAGTGAAGCTTGTCCTGAGCAAGTCCAGGGAACTCTGTTAAGGAACTGCTGTGGTCTCATTGGTAGGATTCACTTGACTGGGCCAAACTGTGAGACATGTTCTGGAAAGCAGGAAAATAGCAACTGAAGTTCAATCTGGTAGTGCTAAAAGATGTATATCTCTACACCCTTCCTAACTGATTAATAATGGTTTAATTAAGAAAAGTAGATACACTTATTTAAGGAACAGCTCTAGTTATGCCTGGAGAATTTAATACTAAAGAAAATATGGGAGACCTAGCAGCAGAAATAGAACCAGAGGCAAAGAAGCTAAATACACACATTCTCTTAATAGCCAAACTTCTCACCTTAATGTTTTATCCTTTTCAAAATGTTATTAGGGATTTTAAAGTACTTTAATGATAAGGCCCTCTATTTGAGTTACTTGCCATTTAAATCCATTTGTTTACGTTACTTGTGGGCTTCCCTGGTGGCTCAGTGGTAAATAATCTACCTGCAAGTCAGGAGTCATAGGATATACAGGTTTGACCCTGGGTTGAGAAGATCCCCTGGAGGAGGGCATGGCAACCCACTCCAGTATTCTTGCCTGGAGAATCCCATGGACAGAGTAGCCTGGCGGGTTATAGTCCATAGGGTCACAAAGAGATGGATACAACTGAAGTGACTTAGCATGCATGCACGCATGTTACTTATATTTTCTACTTAGCAAAATTTGCTTCATTAAAAATAGTCCATTCATTCACTCATTCATTCATTCAACAAACACTTAATAAACACCCATCTCATGCCAAGCACTGAGCTAGGTGCTGCAAGCATAAAAATCAGTAATATCTAATTTTAATACCTGTAGGGTTAAAACCCTCACAGGTCTAGCAGAAGAGAAAGACAAAAATACAGTTATAATTCAATGCATTCAATATATTCTATGATTGAAGCACTTTGGTGGGCATCTAACTCAGACTGGGGGTGGGAAGTGGGCCTAGTGAAGATCTCCAGAGATGGGCCTTAAAAAATAAGCAGGAATTTACCAGGTGAAAAAGCAGGAAAAGAGCAATCCATAAAGAAGGAACAACATATATAAAAATCCAGAATCATGAGAGAGCATGACATATTCAGAGAATTTCCTGTAGTTTGCAATAGCCAGAACTTTTGTGCATATAAAGGACAAGCAATGGTTGAGACTGTGATAGTTAATTTTNACACATGTACACCCATGACTGATTCATGTCGATATATGGCAAAAACCACTACAATATTGTAAAGTAATTAGCCTCCAATTGAAATAAATTAATTTTAAAAAAAGATGATGCTGATGTTTCTGTGAGGGTGTTTTTCGATAAGAGTTACATTTAAAATGGTGGATTTGAGTAAAGCAGATTGCTCTCCATAATAAGGGTGGGCCTCAGCCAATCAGCTGAAGGCCTTAATAGAAAAAACCTGACAGCTCCTGAGGAAAAGGGAATTCTGCCAGCAGACTCTTTTGGACTTAAACTGCAACTGTTTCCTGGATCTGCAGCCTGCTGGGGTATTCTGAAGATTTTAGATTTGCCAGGCTGCATAATTGGATGAGCCGATTTCTTAAAATTATTCTTTTCTTATAACTGTATATATACACATCATATTAATTTTGTTTCTCTGGAGAACTCTGACTAATAAAGAGGGTAAAGGCAGAGGACAGGGAGAATTCTTCTGAACAGTCTTTAGTTTGAATGATCATGGGAAACTTCAGATTTTCAGTTACCTACCATTGATTCAACAGTGATGTAAGAGAGCAGAAGTGGATATGTGGGTCTATGAGATTCTATAGAGATGTCAGGAGTTAACATCATTCCTCATTCTTTTCCATGTCTTCCACTTCTCGGTTTTCAAATCCATTCCATTCCATCCAACAGACATTTACTTCATAACAGTATGTGCCAGAGATAATGGAGCACAAAGATTGGAGAGACCAGTTAAGACTCTGCAAAGGAAGAAGTAACACTTGAGCAAACCACTGAAGCACAAATGTGAGCTCTGCAGGTAGACAAGAGCAGAAAGGGGGAGGACCATGTCATTCCAGGGAGATGGAATCATGTGAAAGAAGAACTAAAATTTATTGAGCAATTGCTAGGTGCCATATACTAGGTATTTTGTATGTATTAAGTGATTTAATATTTTTATTCTACCCTATGAGTAGAATCTTATTGAAATTTTCAGAAGAGGTTAAGTAAGTACCCAAGGTTGCATATTTACTATAAGTCTAATAACTTAGTCTATAACTTAAGTCTATAACTTAGACTCAAGTCTAGACAGTCTGGCTTCAATGACCACTTAAAAAAAAATCTCCATCCCTATCTTCCTCAATCATGCAGTAGCCGTAGATTCATTAAATCTTAAAGCCAGAAGGGTCCCTAGATAATTTAGTTGAGTGGTTCCTGCACAAGAAAATTATACATTAGGATCACTGAGGAGGTTTTTAAAAATACCAATGCCTATCATTGCCTTCCTTTATCTCCCAACTGGAGGAATCACAACACCCCCCTAAACACACACACACCTTTCTTTTCTTTTTTCTCCTATTTAAAAAATTGGGTTAAGATATAAATAAAGCAAAATCTATCATTTTAACACTTTTAAAATATTCAATTCAATGACATTAATTACATTTGCAATATTGTACAATCACCACCACTATCTATTTCCAAAATTTTTTGATTACTCAAAACAGAAATCTTGCAGCCATAACTCCCATTCCCTCTTCTCCCAGCTCCCAGGAATCTCAAATAGATTTTCTCTTTTTATGAATGTGCCTATTCTAAATACCACATATAAGTGGAATTATGCAGTATTTGTCCTTTTGGGTATGTCTTATTTCAGTTAGCCTACTGTCTTCAAGGTTCATCCATGATGTAGCATGTATTGGAACTTCATTCCTTTTTATGGATGAGTAGTATTCAATTGTATGGATATACCATATTTTCTTTATCTATTCATCTGTTGGGGCACTTAGGTTGTCCCTCTTTCTGCAAAGACATACTGAGGATCCACTGCTTTTTAAAACTTAACAATATCATACACAAAGAGAATAAAATGACAAAAGGAGGCAGGGTCTAAGTACCAGATAGAACAGGAAAAAGACCCAGAGTAGTGATGTATACATTTTGGTTTGGATGGTAAGAGGCTAGTTTTTAGGGTGGGGCTCTAGTGTCAGGGGTGCTCACATGACTGAGGCTTTTATCCTACTTTCTGCATAGATATTTTGTCATCATCACTCCTGTATCCTGTCAGAGGACTTCTGATTTCAGGAAAATGAAAATAGTTTATTCTGTTACGAAAACAGAATGTGACTCTGAAAGTGATAATGGCTTGTCCTTTTAGGCAATAAAATAAATATAATTTTTTTTCCTGAAACCATTTGCATGAACAAGTGGTAGTTACTTCTGGGCTAGAACGTCAGACCAGGTTGTATCTGTGGGTGACAGGAGTAAAGCTGAGAAGGCAAGATGGGGTAAGAGTGAGTAGATTGGGAAGAAGAAAGGGTGACAGAAGAGTAGGGAGGAGAGACTAATTTGGGGTGACATGTGACAAAGTTCCAGACAAAATTCTGGGACAAATTCTCTTCAACAGTAGAAGCTACTGACCTGCTCCACATGGACTACCTGGTGCCCTTCACATAGAGGGTGTTCAACAACATGTGCCAGATTAGTTTCCTAAAATGAGTACCTTTCTTTTAAGTTCTTTCTGTTCAGTGAGGTAGGCCATTAGTTTTCTCCATTTTGGGGGGGGGTTGTTTTCCACCCTTCCCCAATGCTGTCCCACTCCACAATCTCCTAAGATTTCATTTTCTCTCAAAGCTAAGTTGACCCATGTTTAGTGTTTAGCACATTGTCTGTACAAATGTAAATATCAATATGTCTGTCTACTGACAGTATTATTATTGACTTCTTCCATATTTCCTTTTCATTGGATTTTAGAGTCATCATTTGTGCCTTTCTTTTTTCTATGTTTTCCCATTCTTGCTTTTATGCTGATTCTGATTGTTTCCATTAGACCGAAAAAGTTGTCATGTTCTCTGGCTAAATCAAGATCTTGTCTTCTTAGTCTCTTTCTGATGGCTATTGCAAGTATGCTTTAATCTAAGTGCTACAAAGGAGAAACTGATAACACGCCTTATTTTTTGCTTTTCTCAGGTTGGTTTAGACGCACTGTTGTTTGTCAGGCAATAATCTGATGCAATGAGTGCTATTAATATTCTAATTGCAGTTTCAGCCATTATATGTAGTCAGTACTCAATGCTCAGTTGCTTAGTTGTGTCTGATTCTTTGTGACCCTACGGACTGTAGCATGCCAGGCTCCTCTGTCTATGGGACTTTTCAGGCAAGAATATTGGGGTGACACAAAAATAAGCTTAAAATGGATTAAATAGCTAAATGTGAGACCAGCACTATAAAACTTCTAGAGGAAAACATAGGCAGAACTCTCTCTGACAAATCATATCAACATCTTTTTTGATCCATCTCCCAGAATAATGGAGGTAAGAACAAAAATAAACAAATGAGACCTACTTAAGCTCAGCAACTTTTGCACAGCAAAGGAAACAATAAACAAGATGAGAAGACAACCCACAGATTGGGAGAAAATATTTGCAAATAATATGACTGATAAGGGGTTAGTCTCTAAAATTTACAAACACTTAAATGATGCTTAACATCATCAAAACAAGCAGTCCACTCAAAAAATGGGCAGAAGATCCAAACAGACATTTCTCCAAAGAGAATATACAGATGACCAACAGTCATATGAAAAGATGTTCAACACTGCTAGTTATTAGATAAATGTAAATCAAAACTACAGTGAGACACCTCACATCAGTCAGAATGCCTATCATAAAAAAGTCCACAAAAAAATGCTGGAGAGGGTGTGGAGAGAAGGGAACCCTCCTACACTGTTGTTGGGAATGTAAATTAATACAGCCATTATGGAGGATAGGATGGAGGTTCCTTAAAAAAACTAAAAATAGAGCTACCATATGACCTTGCAATCCTACTCCTGAGCATATATCCAGAAAAAAGCATGATCTGAAAGGATACAAGCACCCCGATATTCATGACAGCACTGTTTACAATAGCCAAGACATGGAAGCAAACTAAATGTCCATTGACAGAGGAATGGATAAAGAAAATGTGGTACATATGTACAATGGAATATTCCTCAGCCATTAAAAAGAATGAAATAATGTCATTTGCAGTAACATGGACGGACCTAGGGAGTGTCATACTGAGTGAAATAAGTTAGATAAAGAAGGAGAAATATTGTATGACATCCCTTATATGTGGAATCTAAAAAGAAATGATACAAATGAACTTACTTAAAAACAGAAAGACTCACAGACTTAGAAAACAAACTTATGGTTGCCAGTGGGGAAGGGATAGTTAGGGAGTTTGGGAAGGTCACGTACACACTGCTATATTCAAAATGGATAACCAACAAGGATATATTTTATAGCACATGGAACTCTATCCAATGTTATGTGTCAGCTTGGATGGGATGGGGGTTTGGGAGAGAATGGATACATGTATATGTATGGCTGAGTCCCTTCACTGTTCACCTGAAACTGCCACAACTGTTAATCAGCTATACCCTGATACAAAATAAAAAGTTTAAAGTTTGAAAGAAAAAACAAAGAACACTGGAATGGGATGTTATTTCCTCTTCCAGGAGATCTTCCTGGCCCAGGGATCTGTCCTAATACATTTGAGTTAGAATTGTTCTGTCCAGGTTCTTTGAAATTTCTTTCTATATTTTTATAGAAATTCAGTGCGCCCATTTCACATGCTAGAAAAGTAATGTTCAAAATCCTTCAAGATAGGCTTTAACAGTACATGAACTGAGAAATTCTAGATATACAAGCTGGATTTAGAGAAGGCAGAGGAACTAGAGATCAAATTGTCAACATCTGTTGGATCATAGAAAAAGCAAGGGAATTCCAGAAAAACATCTACTTCTGCTTCACTGTCAACACTAAAGCCTTTGACTATGTGGATCACAACAAACTGTGGAAAATTCTTAAAGAGAAGGAAATATCAGACTACCTTACCTGCCTCCTGAGAGGAGAAACCTGTATGCAGGTAGCAACAGTTAGAACCAGACATGGAATAATGAACTGGTTCAAAATTGGAAAGGAGTACTTCAAGGCCATATATTGTCACTCTGCTTGTTTAACTTATAGGCAGAGTACATCATGCTAAATGTCAGGCTGGAAGAAGCACAAGCTGGAATCAAGATTGCTGGGAGAAATATCAATAACCCCAGATATGCAGATGATGCCTCCCTAACAGCAGAAAGTGAAAAGGAACTAAAGAGCCTCTTGATGAAACTGAAAAAGGAGAGTGAAAATGCTGGCTTAAAATTCAACATTCAAAAAACAAAGATCATGGCATCCAGACCTATTGCTTCATGGCAAATAGATGGGGAAAAAGTGTAAAAAGTGGCAGAATTTTTTTTTCTTGGGCTCCAAGAAAATTTCTACATGACTACAAGCCATGAAATTAAAACATCTTGATCCCTGGAAGAAAAATTATGCAAATCTAGAGAGCATATTCAAAAGCAGAGACATTATTTTGCTAACAAAGGTCTGTATAGTCAAAGTTATGGTTTTTCCAGTAGTCATGTGTGGATGTGAGAATTGGACCATAAAGAAGGCTGAGTGCCCAAGAATTGATGTCTTCAAATTGTGGTGCTGCAGAAGGCTCTTGAGAGTCCCTTGGACAGCAAGGAGAACTAACCCGTCAATCCTAAAGGAAATCAGTCCTGAATATTCATTGGAAGTACTGATGAGGAGCTGAAACTCCAATACTTTGGCCACTTGACATGAAGAGTCAACTCAATGGAAAAGACCCTGATGCTGGGAAAGATTGAGGGAAGGAGGAGAAGGGGGCAACAGAGGATAAAGGTGGCATCACAGACTCAAGGGACTTGAGTTTGAGCAAACTCTAGGAGATAGTGAAGGACAGGAAAGCCTGGTCTGCTGCAGTCTGTGGGGTTTGAAAGAGTTGAATGGGACTTAGTGACTAGACACAACAACAAGAGATTCAGTTGGTTTACCATAGGAGACTCCTAGGTTGTATGTCTCTTTTTTTTTCCTCCTTTAGTTGAATTTGCTTATGTTGGTTCTTTTATAATCTGAGTATTTGAAATCTTATACAATTAACATTTCTTGCAGCCCCCCATTTACATCTTCATAAAAGTGTTCAGTTTCATGATTTGTTTATAGACATTTCATTTTGATCGTTTACTGCTTATACACAACGTGAATATTATCACACCTTCTAAGAAGGGCAGACATTTACTTCTTCATGGTGAATCCCTCGCTTCCTAAGTGTGACAGATTTAAGAAAGGGCATGTTGTTTACTTTCTACTCTGTTATTTCTTATTTATCATTCTTGTCTTTCAAATTCTATTTTGTTAGTTTATTTAAGAACTAATTTTCTAGTTCCAGAGGTTGGAGCTTAAAAGGAGGTTATTTTCCCACTAAAACAGTAGGCCTTTACAAAAAGATATAGACTCAAAGAGTATTAATAAAATACAAGTGGACTTCAATGATGCCTCTAATTCTTCTGATCCTCATGGGTTGCAGTGGAGAAGAGAGAGAATTCAAAGAGGGGTGTTAAAGGTTATGCTAGGCAGAGTTCAGCACAAGGATGGGTAGACTCATGCTCACAGTCTTTGGAGCATCAGAATATGGTCCCCTTTTTCATCAGTTTGGAGGGAGAATGGCTTCTCTCAGTAGGTCTCAGAAGGTATGTTTAATAGCACAGATCCTATGCATATCATGATGTCTCACAGTATCCTGGAAAGATGGTTGTTAGGTCTTCCCTTTCAGGTGACCAGTTCAGTTCAGTTCAGTTCAGTTGCTCAGTTGTGTCCAACTCTTTGTGACCCCATGAATCGCAGCACACCAGGCCTCCCTCTCCATCACCAACTCCCGGAGTTTACTCAAACTCATGTCCATCGAGTCGGTGATGCCATCCAGCCATCTCATCCTCTGTTGTCCCCTTCTCCTCCTGCCCCCAATCCCTCCCAGCATCAGGGTCTTTTCAAATGAGTCAACTCTTCGCATCAGGTGGCCAAAGTATTGGAGTTTCAGCTTCAGCATCAGTCCTTCCAATGAACACCCAGGACTGATCTCTTTTAGGATGGACTGGTTGGATCTCCTTGCAGTCCAAGGGACTCTCAAGAGTCTTCTCCAACACTACAGTTCGGATGGTGATTGCAGCCATGAAATTAAAAGACGCTTACTCCTTGGATAGCATATTAAAAAGCAGAGACACTACTTTGCCAACAAGGGTGACCAGTTAGGTATGGTCTTTTTATTTTCATTCAGAGGCAAGACTGTCCAAGGATACCAGGGTAATAAGGTTTCTCAGGACTTGGCTTCTCAGGTATAAGGTAATAACCTATTAGTTTCTGATAAATATTTAGTTCAAAGCCAGTCTGACTCATGAGTGTCAAATATCACATCAATGCCTACATTTAAATCACTATATTATAATCAAGTTGCACTAGCTAGCTTTATATCTAAGACTTTTTACTATTTTAGGGGTTAGTCTGGTAACTAAAGATAGCAGTTCTTATTACCAAGTGCCATTTGCCTTAGGCACCATAAGGGTTATGTCTAAGGATTCCCACTAAAATGATAGGGATGCAGGGTTAATATTTTCGACTTTAGGACAGAAGTGATCTTGGGCCTTATGTTGTGGGATGTAGTTTAGGAAAGGACCTCTCTTGGATACAAATATTGCTTTCAGGCTTGAATTGTGCCCATTGTTCAAGGAGACACAAACTATGTATCCTTTTAATCCATTTATGCCCAGTATTTCAAGTTGATACGTTTGTAGCTGGGGAGGCTAGTCTTCTGGTCCTGTTGTTTCACATTCCTTCTGCTCAGGGGAGTTGCTTTACACAGCTGAAATGGACATTTCTGCCTGGGAGGGGGACATCCCCATATAAAGTCAAGGGGCCCTGGAGCCATGAAATTAGTTCAGATTCCTTATCTCTGTAAAGAAGGAGGAGAAGTTGAGTTGGCCCATTGGTCAGAATAACTTAGAGCAGGTAGTAGAAAGTTGTGATCATTGAATTGCATGGTGATCCCTCATGGGAGGGATATCAAAACACTAGATGTGTTAAATCATTAAACTGACAAACTGATTTTGAAGAGAGTTGAGTCGAAAGATCCCAACAATTATCATCTAAAACTCTTTATCTTAAAATAGACATAATTATTGCTGTATTTGGTGGCAGAGCTAGAACTCAAAATCAACATTTCTGACTCCTAAATCTTTTATCTCTAGAAAAAAAAAATTGGTTTTTCTCTTTCTCCTCTTTTTTTGTTTATAGGTTACATATACTTAAAGCCCCAGTTCAGGCATCCTTTCTACCTGGAAATATGCAAAGATCCTCCGTGTTTGGGTTTAGATGCCTTTTATATGTGCCCTTTCCTGTATTCAAGTAGTTACTTGCACTATTGACTTTTAAAAATATTTAATTTGAATTGCTTGCTGTCTCTTCCACAAGTTTTATTTATCTTTCCATTTATCGAGCCTGGACTGGTGCTGGGGACATGGTACCTCATTATTTACTGAAATGTTCACAGGTTGAATGACTTAAATGTGCACAAATATAAGTACTAGTCAGGATTCCAGATTCTCTTCAAGAATTATACTCACAAAGCCTGAAATTAAATGAAAACTATAGAGAATGAATAAGATCTTGAGACTTCCCTGGTGGTCCAGTTGTTAAGGCTCCATGCTTCAAATGCAGGGGGCACAGGTTTGATCTCTGGTAAGGGAAGATCTCACATGTTGAATGGTGCAGCCAAAAAAAAAAAAAAAAAAAAAAAACCCAAATCTTTATGCATCCCTTTAGTATAAGACTGACTTCTGCATTAGTGGGATACAATATAATATTAAAGGTGTTGAAATGAAAAAGATGACACAGTTCAAATAATACTTTAAAATATGCAGTTGGACTAGGATTAAATATACTAATCTGTGCCTAACAGGATGCTGAATAAAATTTTCTTCTTCATTCATATATATGTATGTATACATATATATATCTTAAAGTGATTCAGTTATACACGTGCATATATATGTATATACATATATATAATAAAATTACTTTGTTGTACACCAGAAACTAACACATTGTAAATCAACTATACTTCAATGAAAACAAAACAAAACAAAAAACTTTCCTCTTACCACAGAATCAGAATCCAGGATCTCACAACAAGGGACAAAATGTCCGACTTTCAAAAGCCAATCAATTTGGTCCAAATATAAGAGGCCTTTAAACTATCATGAAGACCATTCCTCCTTCCCATTCCTTAAAATCCTGGGAAAGGAAATAGGGTGTTCAAGTTATCCATTGCAGATAACAAGTCACTCCAAAGCTTTAGTAGCTTAAAATGACAACACTCATTTTACTATCTGTCATGGTTTCTAAGATCAGGAATTTGGAAGTACCTTGGAAGGGCAATTCTGACTCAGGGTCTCATATATACTTAAAGTCAGATGGGTGGCTGGTCTTGGAACAGCAGGGGGCTGGAGCACCTGGGGCTGACCAGGAATTTCTCTCTGTTCAGTCTCAGGACCTCTCCATGTGGTTTCCTTACATGGCTTGTGTGAAGCCATCACAGCATGATGGCTTCTGAGCAGTCAGACTACTGACCTGGTAGCTCAGAGCTCCAAGCACAAGTGTTGCAGCTAGGAAGGCATAGTTATATTTATGACTTAATCTCAGAAGTTGTAACAGGTCACTTCTGCCATACTCTACTGGTGAAACAGTCACAAAAGTGGGGCTACTTTTAAAGGGAAGGAGCATAGATCCTACTTCTCTATTTAATAATGTCAAACTCACATCTAAAAAAAACTAGACATGTAGTATGGGAGATACTAGATTGGTGGCTCTCTTTGGAAAACACAATCTGTCAAAGTGATCATATCTGTTATGGGTCCTTGGTCCAAGAACAGTATTGTGCTTTTCCTAATGGGGAGGGGAGAGGGATATTCCCCTTTAAAATTGACTGAGGGTGAAGGTAACCAAATCATTATTTACAACGATTGGGTGTGCTTTCTTCCTCCAACTGAAAGTCTGCTTAGACAGCACATTTTAATTTGCTCTTTACTTGCTCGAGCAAAGAGAAGTGAGATTGGAGAGAAGGGGGCAGTGGTGAGTAGCTGATATAATACTCACTGGAGTAGTAAGGATATATGACTTTCCTGGGGTCAAGTAAATATTGTTGGCGCCTCACTAAGAGAACTTCCCAACAGGCAAGAGAACCCAAACAGCAAAAATCTGTGGCTCACAGTAGCCTACATCAAGGGTTTGTGCACTGGGGAGACTAAATAATTGATGCAAGATAGCCTGCATTTGGATGTCTACAACCTAGAGACTATCAGTGGCCTTTTAGAGTTAGTACAGAAACAAAGACAACAATCAAAGACAGAATTTCACCGTGTATTAGAGTCTGGGTTCAACCTGAGACACAGAACCAGGAGGATATTTATTATAAGGAATTGGCTAATGTAATTGTCAGGGCTGGATAACGAAGTCTGTGGTCTGTTGGGCAGGCAATCAGAAAGAAAAGATCAGGAGCATGCTGGAAACCATAACAGGCCAAAGCTTCTTGTCCACAGGTAGCAAGGAAGGAAGGTCATGAGAGGGCTGGAACCCTAATGGCATGAACTATTTGGAATTTCTGAGCTCATGGAAAGCCTAATCTCTTTTTGAAAGAGCTTACTTGTTTAGGTCAGAGGTTAACCCACTCCAGTATTCTTGCCTGGGAAATCCTATGGACAGAGAGGCCTGATGGGCTACAGTCCATGGGGTTGAAAAGAGTCAGACACAACTGAGTGACTTTCACTTCACTTCACCGAGGATAGTCTTTCTTTTATTAACTTAAAGTCAGCTGATTAGGAACGTCTGTCACATCTGCAAAAACCTTCATAGCAGCACATAGATTAGTGTTAGATTAAACAACTTGGGAATGTAGTTCAGCCTAGCCAAGTTTATACATCCAAAAGCCATCACACAGCAGCAACCAACGTCTGAGACATGTGTCCTTTCCCTTCCTCCCTGTGCCAATACACCAGGGAAGCTGGAGCCTAGTTCCTTTCTCTCAGAAGGAGCAAAACAGCAGACGTGTCCTTCCCCTATTCGTGCTCCTGGGACTAGAAATCTGGCTGCAGTGGGAAGGGAAAAGCTTTGAAGGATATAAGCCACAATTTTAACAATTTTAAGCAAATAGGAAGTTATGAGATGTCATTAAGATACTTGCTGAAAAAAAAAAAGATACTTGCTGACTAGCAAGGAAAGGAGATTTAACAGCAAATTTGGGTACAATGACTACAGATAAAATTCCACTGAGTTGAGACAAGTAAATAACAAAGTGATGAGATTACAAAAATTATAAGAACTATTGCAGATGTTAAATAAGGAAGAAAAAAAAGTGACAGAGTGGTCAGGGAAGGCTTGTTTCTAAAAGGCAGGATTTGGACTGGGCCTTCTTAAAAGATGAGCAGTGTTTATAACGCGGGAGCAGAGGGGAAACTAGTAGGAATAAAGACTTAAGAGAAACATGTAATGTGGGGCATCAGGACAGGGAGAACACTGGAGTGAAGTCTCTGTCAAGGAGCTAAGTATTGATAGGGGCAAGGCTAGGCAGGGTCTTGAGAGCTAGGCAGTGGAGTTGACACTCAGTGAGGTAGTTGGTAGGAAATGTTGTATGTTCTTGAATGGGGAAAGCTTGAGGGAAGTTTTTTGTTTTGTTTGAGTCTTTTAAAGGCATTAACGTGACAGTAGTATAATATAGTTGGATTTTAGAAAAGAAGGACTAGGATTCAAGGGGACTAGTTATGATGCTATTGCAATATGCTAGATGGGAATTCACAAAAATCTGATCCAGATTCAAAAGGTAAAATAAATTGGAGGAGAAAGGAAAAGTCTGAGAAATATTTCAGAGACAAAAACAATAAAATTGATGACCAAATGAAGTGTGATGGCAGAAAGAATAATTGAGTGTTCCTTGGTTTCTAGCTTGGGGAACTAGAAAGATGGTGGTATTTCAAACATATATGAAGAATTTAGGGACAGAACGTCCATTTGGGAGACCAAGACTGTTAATTCAGTTTGTGACTAAAGCTAAAGTAATGATTCAAAGTGGAAATATCCTGATAAAAGTTGAAAAAAGAGAACATCCAGATTAGTTTGATAGCATTATGCATGAAGTTGGAAGATCCAATTATGCATCCATTATGCATGAAGTTGGAAGATCCAATTATGCATCCATTATGCATACAAGTTGGAGATCCAGGCCAGGAACTGAAGGACTTGGAGGCCTAGGTGGTGTTTTTTAAAATGACCCTTCCACCTGAAGGTAATGTTATTTAAAAGAGAAACGAATAAATAGGAACAGTTGGTTTACCCAGATGGTGTTAAAGAACAAAATGGAATTTGATTTCTGGACCATGGTTTAAGATCCTGGAACTGATGAGTTTTTGGCAATGAACAAGGGAAATATGTCATGAAGACAAAAAATAAAAAAGGTTTCCTTTTTAATTTTTTTTTTGTTTTGGGGGGAAGAAATCACTGGGAAGGAAATAGCAAATTGTTCTTGGGGAGAGGGAAAGAACTAAAGAGAACTGAATGAACAAATACTGGTCTCAAAGAAAGAGTAACATTGTAGAAGACACCCAGTGTTTCAAAAGAGTTAATTATAGGTGAAAGGAAGCTGAATTTATTAATATTCTTTGAGATTTTACTATATGCCAGCACCATGGCAAATCCTTCATACAACATGGACATCTTTCTACATCAGTAAAGATTGGCATTATTATTTTAAACGGATGCATAGTGTAGTGCGGAGGGTCATTCTGGTGCGCTACAGTGAAGTCTCCTGTTCATACATTTTCCCAACCTTTTTATGTGCTCTTTTCTCAATACCAGATGAACTTTTAAAAAAAAATTTAAACAATTATCATGATTCAAATAATGTATTAAAAAGTATACAAAATGTTTTCTTTCTATTCTTATTTCCTGTCCCACCTCAATGATTAGTTTCCTTTGTATGTTTCTATAATTCCTTTGTTATACTTTTTATATTATATAAACAAATATATACTCTTATTTTTACCTTTCTTAAAAAACACATAAGGTAAAAAGCATCTTGTGTTCATCTCTTTAGGGTAAAATCTTAGATGTGATATTGCTGAATTAGTAGTAGTTTCAGTTAGAATCTTAAACCTATTGCCCAGTTGCTCATCAGAAAAATTGTATATAGCAACAGTGCATCAATGTCACAAAGTCCATTTTATTTTCTAATTTCAGCATTCCATATATCTGAAGATGTATGGGGATCCAGAATGAATGTTTAAAAAATCATGAATTCATACTACTAGTTTTGGTATCATACAGAAGTGATTATACAAAAGAATTTGGACTTAATAACTTATAGACAAATGGACACAATCAGAAGGAAAGGTTTAATCTACCTTGTTATTTATTTTTCTGTGTTTATCTTATTGGGTTGATAGGGAGGTAGGAATGAAAAAATGGAAAAAATCAGTTATTTATTATTTAAAGAAATACAGTTTAATGAGACAAAGAATAATCATGATGAGAAATTGGGGCTTACTTAGGATGAGAGTGAAAAAAGGGTAGACAATTTCATTGGGGCTTGTATACTGATAAGGCATATTGTTAGATCATCTCTTCCTATTACTTTAGGGGAAAAAACCTCTTATTACAACCTCTGCTTTCTATTATTGAATTGATGCATGAGATTATAATGGAATTTAAAACTATAATTCAACTGATGAACATGTACATTTGTCTTTTTTTCCTTCTTAAATAGAATTGATTGCCTGGAGAAATGGATACTTCTCCCTCCAAAAAATATCCAGTTAAAAAACGGGTGAAAATACATCCAAACACAGTCATGGTGAAATATACGTCTCATTATCCTCAGCCTGGGGATGGTGGATATGAAGAAATCAATGAAGACTATGGAAGTTTTATGGAAGAAAATCCAAAGAAAGGCCTGCTGAGTGAAATGAAAAGAAAAGGAAGAACCTTCTTTGGAACCATGGATACCCGCCCTCCAACAGAAGACCCAGTGACCAATGAGATTGGACAGTTCCAAAGCTTTGCAGAAAAAAATATTTTTCAATCCAGAAAAATGTGGATAGTGCTGTTTGGATCTGCTTTGGCTCACGGATGTGTAGCTCTTATCACTAGGCTTGTTTCCGATCGTTCCAAAGTTCCATCTCTAGAACTGATTTTTATCCGTTCTGTTTTGCAGGTCTTATCTGTGTTAGTTGTGTGTTACTACCAGG